TCTTTCCTCTATGAGAAAGCAATATATAAATGAAACAATGCATGACTTATACAATAAGATTATTTAAAAAATCTATCATTTTTATTATATAAATTAGATTAATTATTGTGATAATATGTTTTCAACAACATACATGTAATTTTCTTTATTCTATTGTAATTCATAACTTTATCACATATATTCATACTCAGTGCATTGTACGAAGCGACAATGTGTCATATATAATGTAAAATTTTGTCTCCAAAACACAACATGTGCTGACGTGTACGTCACCAAGCTAACGCTGAAAGAGATATTACATTTTTTAATGTATTTAAATAGAAAGCTATGTTCAATATATATAAGAGACAGAAATAATTAATCAGCAAGTGCAGTAAATACAACTGATTAATTTTATTGTTGCTTTTATAAAATATTATATAAACTTTCGAATTGTATATACGGTAATTATCTGACATTTTTTCCTGTCCACTTTATCTTCAGTTTCTATAGGTACACTTTAACCCCTTCAGTGTGTAGATAAAATATAACAAAATGGTCCCAAAATGTGTAAGACCTTCTTGTGAATAAATTTTCATGACACTAGGTACTAAGGAGTTTTTGGAGCCGCTGAATATGATTCCGGTGTTAGTTTTCAAAAATTCAAAATGGCGGATCCAATATGGCGGACAAGATTTTGAAAAATTCATTGGATTCGCTTAAAATTCGTTACTCAGGGATTTTCGTGGTCGCTAATTACGAATATGACATTAGTTTTTCAAAATTCAAAATGGCGGATCCAAAATAGCGGTCACGATTTTAAAAAATGTATTGGATACGCTTAAAATTCGTTATTTGGGGGTTTTTGGGGTCGCTGATTACGAATCTCTTATTAGTTTTTCAAAGTTTAAATGGTAAGAATTTTTAAAAGAATTTTTCCACTTTTAAAATTTTTCAAAATTTTGACGGACATTTTGGATGAAAAATTATATATTTTGAAATATGACTTCAGAATCGTGATCAGCGACCCCAAAAACCCCCGAGTAAGAATTTTTGCGATTATACGTTAAGATGTTTTCTTGTTTGGGCCATGACGTGTATACACGTCATCCACAGTCAAGGGGTTAAAGATGAACGTGCATGACATTCCTTTGCAAAAATATATACCTCAAAATAATATTTTTTATATAGAATATATTCAGACTTTAGGAACAAACTTTTGTTTGTTACTATGACACATATACAAAAATTTGTATTCATATATAAACTAATACTACGTTAAAACAGTCGTGTTAAGATTTGACAACGTTGCAATTGCCAAATAGGGTAAAAGTGGGTATTATCGCGGGTGTGGGTATTATCGCGGTATTTTATATTTTAATGAATATTTCAAATAATATAAAAAAATTTTAACACTATAAAATCACTCCTTGAACCTGACAACTAAGACATTATAATATGCATCATATTTTTGATTATTTTTCTATTAATCAATTTATTAAAAATGTTTTAAAATTTGTTGTCTGAAAAAAGATCAAAATGGCTCACCTTGGTTTGAGATTCAACTCTACAGTGGTGTCAAAAATTATTGTTTTTATGTTCTATAAAACTCTAAGAGATGATTCTTTTTTTATATTTTGGTAAATTTATTGTTATTCTTCATAACAAAAATTTGTTTACCATCTTATGATAAAAATTTGTTTAGTTAAAAAAAATTGATTTTTATTAAATATTTACAGTCACGATAATGAAGACATCTTTTTTTTTAACATGTGGGTATTTTCGCGGCTCCTATCATAACCCTTGAAAGTAAGGTTAGCAGTGTGTCTCTAAAGTTTAAAACGTTGAAATTATAGCCGATATTATTTTTGCTTGTTTTAATTTATATTTTAATAAAAGTACTTTGTATATATATATATATATATATATATATATATAAAATTAATTTTTAACTAAATAAATGTTAAATTAACATTGTTTTTCCACTTTGCACAGTAACTGTTAAACACATTTAGACACAATAAAAATTTCGTTTATTTGAACGTTCAGAATTTTAGTAAATCTTATAACAGTTACAAAATACAAGCAAGAAAATAAAGAGTAATGGAAAAGATAAAAAAATTAAAGTAAGTGAAATCTGTATATTTAAGGAAAAAATTTCTAATAGCTATAAAAAAGGAGCAAAAGTGTCAAATGAGAATTGACTATACGTTAGAAATATTTGATAATAATTGCTTTACAATATTTTATCAGAGTATTATTTTATATTATGAGACTAATTAAATTATTATAATAAAACCAAGTATCTTTTTTCTTGTGATACTAGTTTACTATTGAATTCGTCCATTTATTATAATGCTTAAAATGTTGTTTAATTTAAGTTCTTGCGATATTTTTATTTTTAAAAACTATATTATTATTCGTTTTAATTTTTTACATTTACTACATTTTAATTAAGTAACTATTACAAAAATCCAAAATGCAATAAATAAATTATCCGCGATATTTACCACGCGATAATACACTCATCCGCGATATTTGACACGCGAAAATACCCTCAAGCCATTACAAGTCCCGCGAAATTACAAGCAAAGGAGTCTTCTATTTAATCATTTATTTAACGATTAAAACTATTTTCTATAACATTGGCAATTTTTTTTTAAAGAAAAGAAAGCTTAAATATTCATTTAAAAAAAACAAAGCCATATCCATTTATTTATAATTTTTAAACCACTTGGATGTATGGCGTATACAAAATTTCTCGATAATACCCACATTTACCCTAGCACACATGTTCTTGTTTTATGATTAGTTGGTTAGAAATATGTTTGTTTATAAATGTGTAAAAATGTCAATGCTTTAAATTTATCGTTGGAAAGGGAAAATAGTTAAAAAAGAAACGTATGATAATTTAATTCGTAGTCAAGAGCTTGGAAAAAATAATGAAGGAAGAAAAGTCCTAAAAAGACCTTTAGAAAATAATAAAGAAAAGTTCGACGATGGAGATGACATGGAGAGAATAGTTTCTTTAAAAGTTCTTGGTGAAAATTTGTGGTGCTTATTTTGCAAAGCGGCTTTATCATTAAGCAATTTTCAATCAGAGAAATTACAAGGATTTGGTTCCACACTTATTGGCTGTTTTCGGCACTCGCCCCGAGTTAACTCCGGGTTAATGGTGATTGGTTAGACCAACAAAATGTTTTTGATGATTGGATAATATTTAACTCGGGGTTAACCCTGGGTGAGTGCCGAAAACAGCCATTGTAAAATGTCATAAATGTTTAGTTTTGAACGAGGTTATAACAGGCAGAAAAAGAATTACTCCAGATGAAAAACAAACTCTACTTTTTAAACGAAATTTTACAGCTGCATTGGGTAAGAAATTTACTTTTAAAATAATTTTACAACTGATAAAATTTTTTTATTTTCTTTTATTTATTAAAATTTCTATGTAGAAATTTTTTGGTTGTATTTTTATTTTCTATTTTGTTATTTTACCTAATGCATATATAATTAATTTGAAATTATTTTATAGGATTTTATTAAACTATTAGTTAAAATGTCTCAGTACATATTTTTATTTCGTCGTATAAAAAAGAAAATTTTATGAAATTGATAAAAATAAGAAAAATATAATTTGACAAATAATCTTTAACAAACTTTTTTTAGGTTTTATGCACAGTGGAATGGGATGGACACAACTAAATAAATTCTGTGCGATTATGAATATTCCATGTCCTGATAGGAACACTTTTAAGAGGCATGAGGCTGAAATTGAAGTAACTGCTAAAAGTGTAGCAAAATCTAGTTGCCGCAAAGCAGCAGCTAAAGAAAGGGAGCTAGTACTAAAAAATGTCGAGACAATTGAAACATCTCTGTAATTTGCTTTTTTAGTGATTTTTTACGGATTTATTTTATCTCATAATTTTTTAAATTCATTGTGATTGGTTTATGTTTATGAATCATTTTTCTTTCTATTGCTCAGCAGAAACAAATTTGGTTTAAAGATGATCAGCAAAATTGCTGCCCATTGAAATTAATTTTATTTAGGGCATTTAATTTATTTTCTCTTTCTAACATTTTTGAATATTTCAAATTACAATAGATAATGAAACAGATATTAATATTTTTAGTAAAACTCAAAATTTTCGAAAAATTAAAATGTTAAGCTTATAATTTTTATTATTTCTTATACCCTTTTTCCATGAGCCTAAACAATCAATCATATGGATTTTAAAATTTTGATTTAAAATTTTTTTTTAGAATAACAATATATATAATATAATAGTTAAAACTTATTCAAAATATTTTTGTTTAATGGAATATGATTTTAGGCCCTAACAAATTCTCACCTCTCAATAAGATGCATTTTGATTGGTTAAAATTTTACTGTAAATTAAAAATTTACAGTAAATTAATTTTAATTTGAAACATAATATGTTAGCTATTATTTTATATTATTTATATAAATTATTATTTATTATTATTATTATTTTTATTATTTATAATAAATAAAGAATTTATATTTCAAATTTTTCTTATAACTTTTTATTTTTTCCTTAGACCTGAAGAATATCAGTCAAACTTTTTGGTACCAAACAAAACTCCTTCCACTCCATCCAGTGATTCTGATCCTGCATCTACATCCTCTTTTCAGTTGTTTGAAAAAGAAAATATCGCGGAAGAGACATTAGAAGATGTTGTTCGAATACCTGCCTCATATGATATGGGTTGGAGCACTAGAGGAACTGGCAGAACCTATGACAGTTTAAATGGATTTGGAGGTGCCATTGCCCATTTGATGAATTCCTTTACACGCATTTAACGATCACAATAAATGCGGCACCTGGTGTGGTTTTCTGCAAAACAGGGAAACTTATGATCACAGAATCGTGCCTGGTGGAGTACATGATCCTAAATTATTAGAAGTTCTAAATGAGTTATTTTTTAAACTTGCTGACAATGCAGTAAAATTTTCTGCCGGTGCATCTTCAAATGCTAATAAAAGTTTAAATGCCTCAATGAGTGCAAAATGTCCAAAAAGAGTTTGTCACAGTAAATCTGCTTCTGCTGATTATAGGTTTGCCTGTGTTTTAGGACAAAAAAATCTTGGAGAATCCTACACTGAGAAAATCCTTGAGAATTTAATTTTAAAACCAGGAAATCGTCTTAAGCAATATAATGCCCGTTCGCAAAAACTATTAACCGACAGAAGACTCAAGATAAAAAAGCCAGAGTTTAAGAAAAAAAGACTGTTTTTAAAAAAAACAACGGGCTACTTTACGGTACAGAAAAGAAAATATTGAAGGAGTTACCTATGAAACTAACTGCGCACTGCTTTCCGAACCGGGAATTGTAACTGAAACAAGAAATAAGGATAACGACGGTAACACACAAGTCTCAGGTATTCCGATAGTTCTTCTTGACCTTGAAACCACTGGCTTCTCATGTGAAGCAGAAATTTTACAAATAGCAGCCAAATCTGGTAAAGAATTGTTCAACATTTACGTGAATCCTGTTGGATCCATTTCAGTCAAAACTTCAGAAGTGCATGGATTAACAAGTTCATATGGGAACCTGTTGTACTATGGAGTGATTGTACCATCGGTTCCAATTCGAGCAGCTTTAGCCGAATTTCAAAATTGGCTAATGAAATTGGGAAGTCAATGTTATGTCGCTGTACATAATTTAAATGTCGATGGTCCTAGGTTGATGAGAGTAATTGAAAATTATTCCATGACAGAAGATTTCAAATCAACAATCGTTGGGTTTGTAGATACCTTGGAGATAATTCGATGTAAAAATAAGGGAAATAGCAGTTCTATTGCATCATTAGCGTCGGTGAATGAGATCTCAATTAATGGAGCACATAATGCTATTGAAGATTGCAAAATTCTCGAGAATATTTTGCACAAAATGAACATTGGTAATGTCCATATCCTTGAAAATATGAAGCCTTTTAAAGACCGAAGAACTCATTGGTCTGCTTTACAATCGACGCGAAAAATTGTTTTAGGACTGACTCCCCTTGCAACAGTTGTCTCAATTTTAATTAGAAAGAAGCTTGCTAGCGCAGGAGTGACTTTAGAGAGTTTGACAAACGCATACCAAACATCTGGAGAAGATGGTTTGAAAAAAATGATTGTATCCAACGATTCTCTGAAGAGTCTCCAAAAACTGTCAATTGAATATATATTAAGTTATTTCACTAAAAAGGTCATTTCCACACCAAAAAATAAGTCAAAAAAAAAAAATTACGTGCTTAATACTGAAAAGTTCACATATTAAATTGACACAAAATGCTCTGGATAAGTTTTGTTTATATTGACCTCATTGTTTGCAGGTTGTTTTAATTTTTGTATCTATAAAACTTCAGGCGCAGTCAATTATGTAAAAGCGACGTTGCCTCTCTTCTTCATCTATTATTTAAAAAATTTGTCAATACGTATTTTTTTTAACTTTTTTTAAAAATTCTTTAATATTTTTTCGGTAACACAGTATAATTTTTATTGAAAACAATTTGTCATATCCCTATGCACTTATTTTTCAAAAAACATCAAATTAATTGGATTTCTTTCAACATTTTTTTTCAATAAAAAGGATGAATTTTATAAATCTCTATAAAAGTCAATGTTAAAAATCAATAATTTAAAATTCATATAATTCAATAAATCTGCAGTAAACCAACTCCAAACTTTGCAAGAATTTTTTTTTTAATATAAAATTTTTGATATATGTAAAAAAAGTGTATTTTCTGATTTCCAAAAAACATGCAGGTACATCCTTAAAAATAACAACTATAAAAATGACTTATTGACAATTTCAATTGGTTGTCTAATTTTGACATGTTTATAGTATAGTTATATTATAGGAAGTAGGAAATATACCCATTTTATGCATAATTTTTATTTTTCAATAAGAATATTGTTTACAAACTCATTTTTTCATTTAGGAAGAAAAACATTAGATATTCCCGTTTCTTAACTTTTTTGTAGAAAATTCTCAATTTTCATAAGGAAATAATTTGCATCAATTCTCTTTTTTAATTTCAATTGTTTTAATAAAATTAAACGTTTTTTAAAAACAAAAGAAAAAATGTTTATAAACTATATTTGTCATTTAGAAAACTTATTTAAACAAAAAACTTAAAATTTTTGAATTTTTACAAAATGAAGGAAAAAATTTTATTGAAAAAAATGTTCCGTTAAATTTATTTACGAATATCTTTAATTGGTAAATTATTTGAAAACAGTAATTTCTTTCTTAAATATTTTAAATATTTAATTATTATTATTTTTCCATGATTTCACGACTCTTATTTTGTATGAAATAATTAGTTAAAAATTTTAGGAAATACCATTTCCGACGTAGAATTTATCACTCTTTCTGAATATGAAGCTAAAATTTGTTTATAATTATTTAAAAAAAAATTTATAACAATTTTATTGCAAAAAAACACACTTTTTTATGAAAAAAAAATTTTCAATTATTATTTTGACATGGAAAACTAAAGAATATGGTCTCCAAAGCACAAAATATCGCGTCCTTGAATTCTCAGCTATTAAAATCCATAATTACTTTTTATTAAATTCAAGATGGCGGATATGAAAATGGCCATTTTTCCAAAATGCAAAAGCCCGAAAAAAATTTCGGGTAATGTTTTTCAAAAGTTATTAGATTTGATTGAAAATGGTTACTCGGGGGTTTTTGGGGTCGCTGATTACGAATCTGATGTCACTTTTTTAAAACTAAAAATGGTGTATGCAATATAGCAGACAATTTTTTAAAAAGTAATTGTATTTGCTTCAAAATGGTCATTCGGCGGTTTTTGAGAATATTAATTACGAATCTGACTTCAGAACAATATTATGTTTATCCTCCACGTCCGTTAGCCATCAACAAAATTTTAATGACGTTGCCCAGCTCTTACCAAAAAGAGGTCGACGTGCAAAAAAGCTACTTTTATATTTTATTTTTAAAATTTTTTTTGTTTTTTTTTAATTAAAAATTTTTTTTGGATATTTTAATATTTTTTAAAATAAATAATATAAAATTTTAATTCTGCTTTCTAAATCTGAATCAACGATAATTATGACATGTTTTATACAATGGTAAAAAAGAGACTAACACAACATGTGGTTTGATTGAAAACAAGTGACGCACATATATATGCCACATTGAATGCACAATTTTTGTGTCCTTTTGTTGCACTTTGCATGATAGTAGCTATATTTTTCGAGGCAAAATCAACAAAAAATTTTAAATAGAATAATAAAAATTGGCTTTTTTGCACGTCGACCTCCTTGTGGTAAGAGCAGCGATAAACCTAATATTGTTCTAATGTTAAATTCGTAATTAGCATCCTCAAAAACCCCGGAATGACCATTTTCAAGCAAATACAATTACTTTTTAAAAAATTGTCCGCCATATTGGATCCACTATTTTGAATTTCAAAGAAGTGATATCAGATTCGTAATCAGACACCCCAAAAACCCCCGAGTAACTATTTTTAAGCAAATCCAATCACTTTTTAAAAAATATGTCCGCCATATTTGATCCGCCATTTTGAATTTAAAAAAAGTAACATCAGATTCGTAATCAGCGACCCCAAAAACCCCCGAGTAACCATTTTGAAGCAAATTTAATCACTTTTTAAAAAATTGTCCGCCATATTAGATCCGCCATTTTGAATTTTGAAAATGTGATATCAGATTCGTAATCAGCGACCCCAAAAATCCCCGAGTAACTATTTTCAAGCAAATCCAATCACTTTTTAAAAAATATGTCCGCCATATTGGATCCGCCATTTTGAATTTTAAAAAAGTAACATCAAATTCGTAATCAGCGACCCCAAAAACCCCCGAGTAACCATTTTCAATCAAATCTAATAACTTTTGAAAAACATTACCCGAAATTTTTTTCGGCCTTTTGCATTTTGGAAAAATGGCCATTTTCATATCCGCCATCTTGAATTTAATAAAAAGTAATTATGGATTTTTATAGCTGAGAATTCGAGGACGCGATATTTTGTGCTTTGGAGACCATATTCTTTAGTTTTCCTTGTCAAAATAATAATTGAAAAATTTTTTTTTCATAAAAAAGTGTGTTTTTTTTGCAATAAAATTGTTATAAATTTTTTTGAGAAAATTATAAACAAATTTTAGCTTCATATTCAGAAAGAGCGATAAATTTTACGTCGGAAATGGTATTTCCTAAAATTTTTAACTAATTATTTCATACAAAATAAGAGTCGTTAAATCATGGTACATTTTGCGTCCTGGTGGGCGTTAATGGGTTAAATATTTAAAATATTTAATTATTATTTTTCCACGGAAATTAAGATATTAAAAACTTTCAAATACTTTAAAAATATTATTATAGAAAATAATGATAAGGATTACTCCAAGTCGAAGACTCGGAGTTATCGATTTCTTCATGTTTTATAATATAATAATTAAAGAGGGTCGGGTGTTAAAATCATTATTTTATACTTCAAGAATATTGTTACTGTAACTTCTCAAAAATAATTATCTTTTTTTTTATTATCTAAAATTTAAAATAAAATCCATTTTCAAATCAATTTTTATTAGAAAATTCTACGAGAATTCAATTATTTAAATGCAAAAGTAAATTATTTATTGAATAATTAAATGTTTTTTAAGATTAACTTCTTATAAAAAATTTTATTAACAAATTTTGAAATAATTGAATTCTTTTGACGAATTTTAATTAAATTTTTTAGAATATTTTTTAAGGAATTCGATTAAAATTGTATTAAAAATAATTGAAATTTTGCGATGAGTTTTTTTATTTCTGAAAATAATTGAATTATTGAGAAGAAACTTATAAAAAATTTGTAAATATTTGAATTCCTGGGAAATTTTTATTATTTATGAAAATATTAAAATGTTTGCGTACAAGTTTTGTAAAAAAATTTTAAATAATTGAATTCTTTTGCGTAATTTTATTAAAATAGTAGATATATTGAAAATCATTGAAATGAGGAAAATTTTTGAAAATAATTGAAATTTTGACAAGAATTTTATTAAAATTTTTGAAAATAATTGAATTTCTGCAAGCATTTGTAACTTCTATTCTTCTATAAATCTATTATTTTTAATTCTTAGTTAAATATATATTGACAAATTTAACAAATTTTTGAAGATTTTGAATTATTAAAAATTGTCAAATATCTATGTTCATTGAAATTTCCTAATTAAATTCATTCAACATTGAAATTTTTTAAAATTTCAAATTGAAACTGTTTAAAGTTCATTTATTTATGAAAATTGTAAACGCACCTCTTTTAAAATTGAATTAATTTTGAAATATTTAAGTAAAATTATTCATTAAAAATTTTATTTATTTTATGATAGTTGTTCAAGATTTAAGTTATTTAAAAAGAAATTTTTATCAGAAATTGAAAAAATTGAAAGTTTTGCATTAGAATTCGTGGTAGTTTTGATGTTAGTTGTTTGTTTAAAGATATTTTTGAAAAAAAAATTAAACAAAAAAAAGGAAATTTTTATTAGTAAAAAATTGTCCTGCAATTATTAAATAAGTATTTTTATGAGATGAATAACATATATCGTTTGGAAAATTTTAAATGAAAATAACAAATGAAAAAAATAAGTTTTCAAATACAAATGCATAAAGAAAAGAGAGTGAAAGAGAGTGAGAGGGTGGAAGAAAGAGAAAGTCAGCAACATTGTCGTGTCAGAGGAACTGAAGGATATGACCTTGGATGAGGTGGTTGATTCGTTGTTGAGATTAAACACCACCCTTTTCCACGCGTCACTGATATTCAAGAAATACACGTTTACTAAAAACCCATTACTTAGCACAATCTTAAAAACAGATCGCGCGCTCTCGAAAGAGAGAAGGGAAAAAAATCACTATTAATAGTCAAGTTCGCATTTAAACTACGAATTTAAACATGTGTTCCAAAAATAAAACGTCAGTCTGTATGAATTTAATTTATTCTGTTATTATTACACGTGTGTTAAAGAAGAGAGTCTTCTCTGACAAATCAACATACATAGTTACCTATCATTTTATTCTTGACGATGATTCTCCCCACTGCACTCCAGACAACGTTTTCTTTGTGTTGTGTGCAATTTCTTACGTTTAACATTCAAAAATTAGAATTAGTAAAAATAACTAATTGTTAGTAAATAAGTAATTAATTAATTAGTAATAATGAGTTAATAATTATTAACTATTGATGACTTTTCCTTTCATCAATTAAAATAAAAAAAAGGGGTAACGTATTTAAAGTAAAAATGAAAACTTCTTCAATATATTTATACATATATTTAATATATGAATAGAAATTTAATAAAAATAAAAAAATGCATGTATATTCATATTGGAATATTTATAATGTTAAAGTAAGTTTAAATTTAGAGACCTGACACTTATTTACAAGATTGGTGTATTAAAATAGGAAAAGAGTCATAATTTTGTATATATAGAGTTAGTAAACACAGTGGGTACTTTAATAATTTTTCGAAATAGTTAACTGATTCTTGACAAATAGTATTTAGTAATAATAATAATATTTTCATTGTAAAGTTTTAATTTTCATTATTGCAGGCTTCGCACTCATCTACTAAAACCTACTATTTACTATTTTTTTTTAAGTTATTCTACTACTTGGGTACTTTTTTTAGATTTCAGGCACTAGAAGCTACTATTTCTGTTTTATTTTAGAATTTTTAATAATTTAAATTCGCTAATACTAGGGGAGAGTCTCCAGTTGTGAGACACCTCCAGTTGTGAGACAGTCAATTTTTTTTAACATGCAATATTAAAAAGCCGATTGGTTTATATAAAAACATTTCTTTTTATATGAGCCAACTATTTCGTGTACACCGAGGCGGATATATAAACTGTTTTTGTTAAATACCAACACTGTGTGTGATAATCGACTAAAAAGCGTTTTTTCAATAAATGCAAAGTACTTTTTTTCCAAGTTAATTAATTGGAAAAGGTAAATGTAATGCATTTTCTTTTAGTGTTTTCCTTATATTTTGTGATGCAACATTGCATTGTTCCAATCTACGGTTGAAAATAATTTAATTTTCCTTTTTCAAAATAGCGCCAATTTCTGGGTGTGAGACACAGCATATCACCAGTTGTGAGACGGTGTCAACACCCATCTGGGCAGCATAAAAAATACTACTTTGCAGGCATACTATTTAAATGTTGTTTTGATTCTTTTTTCTAGTATTTTTGGGCATGTCAAGTGGAAAAAAGTCAATTGATTCAGAAGAAATCAATTTTAATGCTCTTGTTGAAGCTATTAAATTGTGTTTTTTTGATAGTCATATTTTGGCGAATAAATATTATTATTTAGTATATAATAATATATATTATTAATATATTTAATTATTTCTACTAAACATAACGTTTTATGTCAAATTTATTAAATTTTAGCAATTTTTAATGAGTGTCTCACAACTGGAGACATTTTTTTTTTTTGAAAAAAGCGATGTGCTCGGAAAATGTATCGTAAAATTTTTTGAGTTCATCGAAACACTATACTTTCTTTTAATAAAAGTTGCGTATTTCTGTTACCTTTCGAACGGTGTATTTTATTTACAATTTCGTTTGCCCGTTTACAATTTACGGGTCAAAAATGAAACCCGTCTCACAACTGGAGACTCTCCCCTATAAATCAAAAAACTATTCTCAAAAACTACAATTAAATTCATTAAAACGATTGCATTGTTTTTAAAAAAATATTCGAAATTCAATTATTTTTAATATCTAGTATTTTCATAAAATTCCGCAAAAGAAATCAATTATTTAAAAAAAAATTTACAAAATTTCCACATGAATTCAATTAATTTATAATAGCATTTTCAAAAAAATTTTGAAAAAGTCAATTATTTAACAACATTTTTATACAATTCTTCAAAATAAATCAATTGCTTTAACTAACAATAACATTTTTCATGGAAATTCAATTATTTAAAAATTTTTTTTATAAAATTCTAAACAAGAATTTAATTATTTTCATAAGTAATAAAACTCATCGAAGAATTTCAATTATTTTTAATAGGTACTATTTTAAATTTGAGTTAAACTATAATTAATCGAAAAATTCAATTATTTTCGCAAATAAAGTTTTTCATAAGAATTCAATTTAAAATTTCCATAATAATAATTATTATATTTTGAAAAAATTATTAATTATTTAAAACAATGTTCATAAAATTCTTATAAAAAATTCAATTATTTTCAAAAATAAAAAAAATTTTATAGAAATTCAATTTTTTTAAAACATTTCAATAAAATTTTTCGCAACAATTCAAGTTTTTTAAAAATATAATAAAATTCTTATAAAGAATTCAAAATTCAACTATTCAATTATTTTCATAAATTAATCGCAGGATTTCAATTATTTTTAATACAATTTTACAGGAATGGCTCAAAAAATGTAATTATTCTTAGAAATTTAATTTCAATTCCTTGAAAAAATCAATCATTTATAAAAATGTTTATTTTAAATTCTGTAAAAGAATTCAATTATTTACAAAAATATTAGAATTTTTTAAAGGAATTTAATTATTTTCAAATATTTTAATAAAATTGTTTAAAAGAAATCAATTATTTTAAACACAATTTTAATTACTTTTTTTTGAAGTAACTTAAATATATTCTTTTAGATTTTAATAAAATTCTTCCCAAGAATTCAATTATTTACATAAATAATTCTTCGAAAGAATTCAATTATGTTGATAAATAACAAAATTGTACCAGAAAATTAAATTATTTTGAGGCATTTTTAAAACTAATACACTTCTTTTTGGAAATTCATTTATTTTTTAAAATTTTAATAAAATCGTTCGCAAGAATTCAATTATTTTCATAAATAATAAAATGCATTTTAGGAATTAAATTATTTTAAAAAAATTTATAAAATACCACACAGACACTCAATTATTGTCAAAAATTTTAATAGAATTTTTTGTAAAATTTAATTATTTTTAAAAGCTTTTCGAAATTCAATGATTTTCAATATCTACTATTTTCATAAAATTTCCAAACAGAATTTAATTATTTAAAAAACTTTTTGTAAAAATCTTCGTAAGAATTCAAATTTTTTCATGAATAATAAAAATGTATCAGGAATTCAATTTTATGTAAATTAGAATTTGCATAAAATTAGTCGAAAGAAATCAATTACGTATTTAAACATTTTTATAACACTCTTCGCAGGAATTAAATTGTTTTTAAAAATATTTAAATTCTTTGATGAATAATAAAATTCGTTGCAGGAATTTAATTTATTAGTAGGATAAGAAAGAAGTAAATATTTTTTATCAAAATTAGGAAAATAAAATATAGAATGGAATTCTTGTCATTTTTGTGAAGTGTCTAAAACAAGTTTTTTGGTAGTCAAGTTTAATTTTTCGATAGGTACTTTTTTTGCTACTTTTTTTTAGTTTGAGAGCTACTTTTTGCTACTATTTTAAAATTAATCATCGAGAGCGAAGTCTGTTATTGAAAAACTACATTTTTAATTATTTCTAATTAGTATCTAATCGATTTTTGGATTTAAATATATTATTTATAAATAAATTACTCAAGATTTCAATTAGATTTAAGAAAGGATTTTCGATCTCGGATCCCTAAATGGCCTAGCATGACAGGATTTTGAGAAAAAAGACGTGCTAGAGACTTCTATAAGCTAGGAATTAACTAAATATAATTTTTTTTATTTCCATATTGAAGCAAAAAGCTTCTAATTTAAATTTTTTGAATGACTTTATTTTTAAAAGAATGGAAAATTCGAATAAGTCAATATTCTGTTGATAAATTTGAAATGAAAGTAAAAAAGAAAGAACATCTCATATTTACCAATGCCAATAAGTCTCCTGAGACAGGTCGTTTCGGAGGTTCATATAATATCAGACAGAAATTTTTATCTAGGACCTCTATACCATATACGTATATGTATATATATATATACATCTTTTCTGTGCTGGGTAGAAATATATCAGGTTCTCAATCTTCCATTCTCCACCTTCTCCATTTTTTCCTCTTTTTTGTTACATAAAATTACCTATTTTTTCCCTCTTTAAGTTGTTTCTTAAAATCTTTTTCTTCTCTTCACACTTCTATTCTTTTTTGAGAGCCGAGGGTTTATTTTCCTTTACATGTATTTTTCAACAAAAAAAAGAGAATGCTTTTCGTCTCGAATGGAAAATAATGAGATAGATTTAAAGGATATATTGACAAGGGCATTTTTTTATAGAAATGAAAAAAGAAACAAATTGTGAAAAGTGGGGATATAAAGAAAATAAATAAAATTGTAATACCGCGAGAATAAGGAAACATTGAAAAGGGATAGAGAAAATCGTTCAAAACTAGCACGTTTCTCATTCGTTCGTGATAAGGAGACAGATTCATCAGAATATATCTCTTCTCTCTCGCACTCTCTCTCTCTCTCTCTCTGCATCTCTTGAGGGTTCCCAGGACGCTGAATCAGGATACTGCGCGCACAGTATCTTTATTTCTTGGCTTCCTGAATTTGCCAGTAAGAAGCCAGAGAAAATAGAGACGACATGAAAGAAAATGAAAAGAAAGAAAATTCAATTTGTTTATATGACGTCTTCCGGCTGGTATCTCTAAAACTATTTCTCTCTTGGTTTCATAATAATTACGTCTCTATTGAAAAACTTTTTCTTCATCCTCATTTGAAAATAAAGACCTCATTTGCGAGCTCCTTGCAAATCGA